ATTGCATTTTAATATAAAGAGTCCTCAAAAATACATAAATAATAGTTTTAGCTTGAAATCATGTCATGCAGTTTGTCAATAGATTTATGCCTAATTCAAATCAGCTAAGCAGATGAATGAGTAAAAGTGTTCATGCACAAAACAGTAGAGCCTAGTAACCTATTTTTGTAGCAAAGCTTTTTTCAAAAATACCAGTGTCACAGAATAAGCATAAAATATAATGCAGAAAATCATTAGATTACTACAAACTCATTTCTGACAGGAAAAGAGATAAAATAAGCAGTGGTGTACTTTGGACAGCACGTTATTCTGCACTCTGCCCAAGAATTAATCAAATGGGGTAATAGAATTAAAATAAATGTTATAGCACTATTTTTGTAAATCCTGTACAGTTTATGAACTGTACAGTCTCTTTCAGGACATCTGCAATGTCTTTGTGTATAAGAATAAATTTTGATATCTTGCTAACAGTGGATGTTTCACTTTTTAATATTAAAAGTGCACAAGCTTGTCAGGCTGGAAATGTTCTATCTTCAAAATGGATTTAAATGGAAAAGCACTATAAATTAGAAACAAATTCATGATCATATAACTAATCATCAGCATCTCCTAGAACTGGTAGTTGAAGGTGGTTTCAGTGGCAAAGTTATTACTGTCGTCGTGTGTCCAGAGGTTGTGAGTTACCTGGTGCTTCCAAGGCCGGGGCGTGAGGATGGTGGGTTCGGAGTGGGGGTCCCGGAGCTGGTGCTGCCTCCGCACCAGGGCTCGGAGCCTCAGGAACATCCCCCGCCTGCAGGCAGCTCCGCTCGTCCGGGGGCGATTACACAAACCAGAAAAAAAACAAGTGTGTGCAATGTGTGGCTCAATACGTTAGTAGGGTTAGCCCAAGAGTGTATGGATTTGAAAAAGATAGTATTTAAGGCACTGAATCCAATACAGCTGAAGAGAACAAAACACTCCGCTGCTCAGGCAATGCAAGGTCTCAGAATGAATCTGTGCTTCCTCTGGAGAGAAGAGTGCACTTGCAAGAGAAAGCAAACTTGTGCCAAATGTCTGTATTCTGACTTTATTACTATAAAAATCACACTTCAGAAGCTATGCTTAATCCAGAACATAAATTAGCCTAAAGACTTATTTTTAGTACAGTGCGTTTCCAAAGACTGGTTGGTACTGCAGCAATCTGTATCAGAGGTGCATAAAATCCCGCTGCTACTGGCAGATGTGACTGTGACCATGAACAGTAGGATGCAAAACTAAAAAGCGTTAACACTGTTACAGTTCCTCGGCTAAAACCTACTTCCGAGTCTTTTATTTCAATCCTTTCTTCTCAGGAAACAAAACAGAACAAAAGTAGTGATAAGCAAAACATGGCGAAAACATCTATGAAAATCCCGTGTCTGAGCAGAGAGAGCTACATCACCTGCTGTACTCCGCACGCCGGCGGGCAGGTGGAACTGAGCTCCTCGCTGCTCTGCGAGGAGGCCACTGGCCCACACGGGAGGTGGGACATGATCATACGTGTGCGAGCCCGGGCTGAGGTGGGAAGAGGAACCATCGACACTGGGAAGTGAAGGTGCCACCTACAGCAACCTGCATCGTCAGTCTGCCAAATCCCCCATTATCAAACCTTCTTCCTTTGGGATGCTGATTTCTACTGCAGATTTGAATAGCTCCCAGGAGAGCGGGATTTCTGATTCACTAAAGGACAAGCTGATTTCAGTGACAGTAACTGACTGGAGTGAATGAAGCTGCCCCATCTCGTGAAATGAGCTGGTGAATAATTTTGTTCCTTCCAGGGCAGAAGGATGCTCTGTATCCTGCACTGTATCTGCAAGAACGTGTGAGAACTTGAGCTGGTCTAAATGGCAGCTGCAAATCAGACAGTAATCCTGAGGGGAGGAATTCACCAATACAGCTTGCTTCACCTGTGAGAACTCACTGCAATATCAGGGTTTAATTTAAAAGTATTGTTAAAAGGTATTTTTAATTTAAAAGTTTATACGAACCAGCAATGAACATTCTTCACTTTGTCTAGGCAATACAGGTGCTGATTTTGGTCTACAAACATTGAGTTATTCTTAGCTGTGCTGAAGAGGTTGCTCATTTCCGTGCGCTGATTCACCTCAACAACTGCATTAGGATTAGAGAAGCTGCACATTAAGGACATATAGTTGGGTTCAGCTCCCTGCACACAGACCGGGTGAATTCCCCATCAGGGTGAGATGTAAAGTTAACATTTCTGGACTCAGTAAATGGCTGCTTTCTCGAGTAAGTGGCCTTAGAACTCACAACAAAACATGTCATTCTGAACTTAGATTTGAGCAGTGCAGAGGAGCTGATTCAAGAGTGGGCAAGCTACTTTGTAGTAGCACCCACAGTATAATTAGGCTTCACACTGCAATGGGAGAGTGCAAGCCAAATAAATAGTACATAGATACTCGATTTTAAGAAAAAGAACTATGTAAAAATGGGACAAATTCCTCTCTCCATGAAAACAGCAGTTCAAAAAGCAACAAGCCTACAGACAGCTAGAAAGCTCTTAAAATAATGTACTAAAAGCCAAAGTAAAATAGGAATTACAAGTAGGAAAAAAAAAGGTCCAAGAAAAAAAAAAATCCTCTCCATGGTTCAATGGGAAGCAAGGCTATCATGAGGCAAACAGGAAAGCCCAGAAAAGCATGGCATGTGCAATGTAAACAGGAAAATAAGAGGGCAAAAAAAAGAATTTGGCAAGTATCTTACAAAGGATGCTCAAACTGTTGGTAAAATTTTACTTGACGATCAGCTCTAAACAGGCCTTTAAAATGCAGAAAAGAGGGCCTTGAATCATTGCTGACAGTTTTCTGTTGGCTTAATAGACAGCAACAGCCCCAAAGCCAACCAGATGGTGGGCTTTGTAAGAACAGGTATTGCGAACAAGACACTGATATCACTGTCGTAAAACAGCTCACAGCTGTTTAAAAACCAATAAAAGGAAGAACTTGTCTATGTGGTGCATGGTGAAGTTTAGCAATGTTGCCTCAGGAGGTTGTAAGAGTTACACCGTATCAGCAGGTTCCCAAAGGGATTAGAAAAATTCACAGCCATCAAGTATGTGAATAAACACTAAAATTACTTGGCAGGGACATAGGTTCTAGAATCATTAATAGAGGAATTTTGGAGACAGAAGTAGCAAATATGGCCAGGCCTTTCCTAAACAGTGTTTATGGAATTACTGCTGGTGCCAGCGCTCCTGCACTAGTGCTTTGGAACACTGGCCTAAATGAGTATTTGTGATGTTCTTCAGCTCAGTATTTCTAACATCCCCATAACCGTGGCTCCTTCAGGTGTGGCTTCCACAGGGCAGACCCGCTGTCTCTCCAAGCCCATACAGAAACACAGTCTTGAGGGCATTTTCCCAGGACAGTTCCATTCTGAGGCAGGAAACGCAGTGAGTTGCCAGCGGAAAGGGCCAGGCCACCGGGACGTCTCATCTCAGCCTCAGGGAGCCTGAGCAGCACAACTGACGGGAGCCAAAGCCGGGAGCATGAAGGCCTCCTCCAAGCCCTCCTACACCTTAGGTGGAATGAAGCAAGGGGCCAGAACTCCACAGCCCATCCTTGGGAATCACTGGCAATTATGGTGGATGTTATGTAAAACAATTTAAAAACAGGAGGGTACTGGAGGCAGAAAGGACTACACCACAACCATCAGCCCCACCGAGACTCCCTCCACAGGAACCCCCACCCCTCCCTGGCCAGCGGTCGCGCATGCGCGCAGGGCATGCCGGGCGCGGCCGTTAGAGCCGTTGGAGCCGTTGAGGGGCGGCCCCCG